CAGGCTGAGGCCTGGCCGTGGTAAGTGCTCAATCCCGGCCAGCAGTGGGGCGTGAGCAGGGACCCCACAGAGCAGGGTCTGGACCCTCTTCCAGCCGCGCTCTGCCTGCTTCCTGCTTGGTACACACACACACGACCTCGCACCAGGCTCCCGACACCCAGGCCCTCCTCTGTGGCCAAAGACGTGGCCCCGCCTGGGTCCAGCCCTAGGCCTGCGCACACGTCCCTCTGCCCCTCATCTCCCCCACCTGGGCACTCGCACCCTGGGACCCCACAGTGGCCTCGCTCTGCCACACGTGCGGTGGCCCCACCCCTCTGCCATGTCTCAAAACCGGTGCGCAGTAGGTCCACCAGGAAGGCAAGGCGGGCGGGGGTCCCAGTGCAGCAGCAGGGGGCGGAGCCAGGACCCCCCCACTTCCAGGGACAGGGAGGGCAGAGCTCTGGGACCCGTGGGGACAGCGACCTCCAGTGGGCTCAGCCATCACCCCAGGAGGCCGCCCAGGGGCTGGGGGAGCCGGGGGCTGGGCTCCCCCCCCCACCTCCTCCGCATATGCCCGCCATATGCTCTCCCGCCAGCGCCCTGGGGCTGCCAGCAGCCTGCGGGGAGGGGCGGGGCCAGCAGCCTGGAGCTGGAGTCACCCCAAGTGCTGAGCCAAGAGCCGCCCGCGGGGCAGGGCCCAGCTCCCCCAGGCTTCACCTCCTGCTGTGCCGCCTGCCCCCCAAGGCCTGGGGGGCGCCTGGGCCAGGGCAGCGGGGCTGGGCAGGCGCTGGGCTCAGGCCACAGCTGAGAGGGCTGTGCAGGGGACTGGAGGTGGTGGGACACTGCACTGGGCCAGCCCTGCTCCTGCCCCCAGGCCAGCGGAGCCCCCACCTGCAGGGCCCTGGCCCCCGCCTCCTGCTCACAGCCCAAGACGGGCCTGGGGGGCACGTCAGGGCCAGGTCCTCTCAAGGACTTGAGCGCCTCAGATGGGCTCCCAGAGCGGTGGCCTCTGGCTGTGGGGACAGCTCAGGTAGCTGGGGGGACAGGGGATAAGAGCTGGTCCCCTTAACAGGACAGCACCCAACACTGACTTCCATAGTGAGTGTGTGGGACAGTCCAGAGAAGGCAGGGCCGGGCTTCGACCGCGGGATCCAGGCCTGGCCCCAGGGCCACCAGGGCCACCAGGGCCCCAGACTTGCAGCAGAGGACAGCCAGCAAGCACCCCCCAGCGGCAGGCTGCGTCCACTGGTTTACCCGGCTCAGAGTTGGATCCCTGGGTTCGAATCCTGCTTTGGCAACTCCTTAGCTGTGTGGCTCAGGCGGGGACATGCCTCCCGTCGTCACCCTGTCCCCAAATAAAATACAGAACAGGGCTGGGGATGTGGCTCAGTGGCCGAGCGCCCCTGGGGTCAGTCCCTGGTACCCCAAATAAGTAAATAATAAGTAAACTCATCATGCCAGGGCTGGGCGCAGCTCAGCGGTGGGCACCCGGGTGTGATCCCCACGCAAAAGAAACAGGAAACAAGAGCCCGTGGGCCTGGAGTCCCCAATGGCATAGCAAGGCCACCGGGGGCTCAGGCCCAGGGGAATAAGAACACTTGTCCACACACAATCCACACACACTCACAGCCCATGATGCACAGGAGCCCAAAGTGGAACTGATGGAAGGTCCGTCCCCTAGCTAGGGCACAGATTCGATGACCCACAGGCCCCACGGTGGAATACTATTCAGCCATAAACAGGAACTAAGTCCTGGAACAGGTGCAACGTGCAAGGACCTTGGCAGCACACTGCTCAGGAGAGCAGCTGGCCACAGAGGTCATGTGTGGTAGAGTCCGAGGAGTGTCCAGAACAGGCAGGTCCACAGGGAGAGGAAGCAGATGGGGGTTGCCAGGGGCTGGGCTTCCTGTTCAGGGTGAGGGAATGTTCTAGAAGGGACAGTGGGAGCCGCTGAGCTCTACAGTCTCAAAATCGCTGACCTCAACCCACGAGAGACGAACCAGATCCCAGTAAAGGGCCGGGAGAGGCCCCATTCAAAGCCGCACCTAGGAAGCGCCGTCCACGCAGCCGGACACCCTGAGTTCCAGCGAGCCCCAGGGTGAGCACAGCTGCTTCAATGACCGGAACTCATCACAGTCCCGGGGGGTGCTGCCTGCACACGGGGCTGGAGACAGGGAGGCCGAGCCTCGCCCTGCACCCCAGCAGCCTTCAGAACTAGGGCTCTGCTTGCCGGGTGTGGCGTGAGGGGGTCTTCAAGGGCACGGCCGGCGCTCGGGCTGCAGGCGGAGCAGGAAGGACTGGCAGTGGCTGTGGCTGCAGGGGCGCAGCCTGGTCCCCAGACCTCAGCTCACCCGGAGCCCTACAGCCCCCCAGGGAGACGCCCCCACCCTGCTATCAGCTGGCAGACCCAGGCTGGGGACACCCACCAATCACAGGGCGGGCAGCAGGCCTGGGCCTCC